AAGTAATGTTGTCCCGGGCTCAAATTTAAAAATATATTTCATCTTTTTTCGTTAATTTATATGATCTTTTTTTGTAAAAATATGGGGTTTTAAAGGTTGGAAATTTGGCCAATCTGGGACAATTAATGAGCGATATATTTCGTGCGAATAAAACTTAGGCGTAGATTTTATCCATATTGAAAAATTGTTTCGAATTCTTCGGACTGTTTTTGAATTTTTATGGATAAATTTAAATGAAAATAATTCATAAAATTTTTTTTGAAGAATTTAAAAAAAAAACAAAAATCTGATAAACTTTGCATATGGCAAATATTTAATAGACCAAATATTTTAATAGACCAATTTTTAATAGACCAATATTTTACTAGACCAAAAAAACTCTTGATAAAATTTTCAAAAAAAAATGATATATTCTGCATTTAGCAACTATGTATTAGACCAAACTCTTTGGTCTATTAGATATTTACTATATGCAAAATATCAATTTTAAAAAAACAATTTTGAAAATTTTATCAATTTAATAGACCAAAAAAAAACTCTTGATAAAATTTTCAAAAAAAATGATATATTCTGCATATAGCAACTATGTATTAGACCAAACTCTTTGGTCTATTAGATATTTACTATATGCAAAATATATCAATTTTAAAAAAAAATTTTGAAAATTTTATCAATTTTTTTCTTTTAAATTACTCCATAAAATTTAATAGACCAAAAAAAATCTTTTGATAAAATTTTCAAAAAAAAATGATATATTCTGCATATAGCAACAATGTATTAGACCAAACTCTTTGGTCTATTAGATATTTACTATATGCAAAATATATCAATTTTAAAAAAAAAAAATTTGAAAATTTTATCAACTTTTTTCTTTTAAATTACTCCATAAAATTTAAAACCTATTCAGAAGACTCAGGGCTCAGTCCCAATACAAGCAATTTTGTCTTGGTTTCAAAACTGATAATAGGAGTTTTTTTAAGTAATAAGAACGCAAAACCCTTAATGTTCTGACTGCCCTTTAACTTGTCTCTGTTACTTTATGTAAGGTGAAGTACTGAAATTGGGATGATGAAATTACATTTTAATTGTCAAAATTGGAATGGCACATGGAATTAATACGACTTATTAACTTGTTTTGATTCAATTTGGGGCATTTTTTGGGGCATGTGATAATTATTGAGCAGTTAAGGTAGACTCGTTCCATTTCGTCCGTAGGGTTACATTGGAGTGCATTACAGGGAGTGCGCTCCCGAGCCGGAAACGCAAGATCTTGGGATCGATCTCCCCTAGCAGCAAATTTTATTTTGCAAATTGGTCTAAAAACAACCCAAGCATATATATTCCCACCCTTTCGAAAGTCGGGACAATATAAAATTTCAAGTCAAGCACAAATCAATAAATTGAAGAATAGCTGATCTTAATTAGCGTAATAAAAATGAAACACGCAATTGTTTAATTGTATACTCAAACTGGACTGAACAACCAAATTAATTGGACTGAAATGCGGTCTGGTTATTATGAATTTAGTTTTTTTTTCATCGAAGAATGATAGATTGAAAGATGGGGGTGAAAAGTAGGGGATAATGGCATAATTTTGAGGTGTAAAACACCATTTTTATAACATCTCAAGCATATCGATGCTTTGTTCTAAAAATTGAAAAAATTATCAGTGATTTTCGCCCCAAATTTTTGAACGCGGTATAGGCTCGATTATTCCGAATCCAGGCTACCGGGTGATACTTATGTTCTGAATTCGTTAATAACTTTACCATTGTTAGGGCAAATTCCATCAGGAGTTCTCTTGTTTTTCTCAGTGTCAGGTCAGGACTATTTTCCCCACGAAAAGTGAACCTATGCCAACTTGTCCTATCTTAAACTGCCCCATGCGACATTTTGTCTTATTCTGTTTTGCCCTGTACTTCACACTTTTACTTGATTCCTTGACCAGCAAATTGAGGACCAGCAAGTGCTATTGTTCACTTTGCATCATTAGCTTACAATTTTGTTCCTAAACATCCAACATGAATACTATGAGTCAAATATCTCAACTTATGTAATTTTGATTGAATGCAACTTTTTTCGAAGATCCTAAAATATTTACCGATGGCAGAGATTTTTTATGATGTAATAAACTGAACGGCCGGAATTTGTTCTGAACCTTAAGAGAAACGGAGAGTTCGGATTGTTATTCGAAACGAAAATTTTATTTTTGTGTGGTTTTTTATAGAAAATAGGTGTAACAGTGGAGTGCATTGAGTTTAAAAGTGCATTCAATTTGCAGAACTAATTCATGCGCGCTTTGTAGAATTTATCCATAATCCTGAAAGCGTAATGCGAAGTACTTGTGCATGGCGAACAATCCCCCACATTAAAATTGATCCAAACTGAATTGAGGCTAGCTAATCAATCTTTTTCACTTCGTACGACTCATTTTCCACTCTTAATCTTTGATATTATCCAAAATTTATAGTTTTTCAATAATTTCATTTCCCGAAAAATATTCGATGTAAATTAGGGACAGTGGCAACATTTATTTCAACAGAATAGTTCATATAACCACTTGGTTAAGGAACATGTCTAGAAATAATTACTAATGCAAGCAATCAACTATTAAAATTAATCTGCACGTGGCACCAGTTATTTAAATCCTCAAAAACTAGCTTGCTGGTAGAAGTAATTTCTGAATCCACCGAGTGATCGGTCAATTGGTATTGATAGCTGATTTGTGCTAATGTAGAAACTATACTTTTGTTTTTTCCTGAAATTTTTCTGAGATGCGGCGAGTCTGATATTTTTAGGTAAAAAGTTTCACTGTTAGCGCAATCTCTCGCGGCTGGTTTTTTTGAATGTTTGACTATATTGCAGTGTTTTTTGCAGCAATTTGTTGTTTTTATGCAGCTTGAGTGTTTCATGACAAAAAAACTTTTCCTGATCTATAATTTTTTTTTCAATCGGAAAATTTGAGAAGAATTATTTTCGTTTTTAATAGCTCTGCAGTAAGTGTTTTGCTTTTTTGTTAGAAAATCACATGTGCTATCAAATTTCCCAAGTGCCCTATCTTATTTGCTATTTTATTCTGTTCAATTGTGAATTTCGTGCTCTATTGCAAATCACGTGCTTTATCAAATTTCCTACCAAATAACAGAATTTGAGTCCCCAGAGTTTTTGCTAGCTTACTCTTTTCAATTGTGACTTTTGTATTTCTTAAATAAAAACTGCGTTATATGTTATATTGGATGATACTAAAGATTTGAATAATCTAATCCGAACATTTAAGGGTTCTACCTCCCTGACAAGATGGATTTTTGTCTTTGGATAAGTTGTACTGGGAAGCCTAAGTTTTGTTCCAGGAAAATTTCTGGTTATCTGCATGCTTTTGAAGCTTTTTTGTGATTATTGTGAAACACTGATTCTATAATGATTTCACAGCTGAATAAAAGAAGTTCAGTTTTTTTTTCTGAATTCAAAGAGAAACGTATCTTTTTCATGAAAGCATCGACGTCATCTACTATTTTTTAAGTGTGTTCTTGCAAAAATGTTGGAGATTTTAGCTCACTATTAGATTGATATCGTCTGCAAATTGAATAGCTCCAATTTGGTCATATAAAAATGAATGAAAATCATTAAAAAAGAGAATGAAATCTATTTGTCTGCGAACTGTCCCTTGTGGCACTCCGTGATTGAAAATTTCCCATCTGGATTTGTATTTGCCATTTTATTGTCAACTTTTCTGGCAATTTTTCAAACGTATTCGAAAAGTGTTACAGCTTTTACTGAGAAACCCATTTGTTCAAGTTTCTGGTAAAAAAAATTGTGAGGTTTCGAAATAAAAGCTTTAGCAAGATAAAAAAAACTCCTGAAGACATATCTTCAGTGCGATCATTAAGTTCCATTATTTCCACTAACGAAAATACAGCGTCGAGGGAAGACTTTTCTCTTTTAAACTAAAATTGCATACTTTTTGATGCTTATGTTTGTCTATTTACTCACTTAAATGTATTAAACAATTTTTCATAAAATTTAGCAAAACTTGACCTCACTCAAAATGCCAATTTTTTTTTGCTTTTCTATCATTTGTTTTTAAATAAAAATTGGTGCAAAATAGGCTTTTCTAACTCTTCCGGGAAAATATTAGATATGATGCATTTGTTTATTACGAACTGTAGGTGTTTACCTGATGTTTACCTGTTTGAACGTTTAATGGTTCATAATTTTACGTTGATAGAATCAGTAATTTTAATTTCTGTAAGCTATCAATTGGCTGAAAATGTGTTTTTCTGGTAAAATTGATCTAAATTTGAACTTTTAACTGTAAAAACATTTAAACCTGGACGCTGAAATTTTTTTGCCTGTATTCGCTAAGTTCTGCGTACGCTCAAAATTCAACGCATTTGCCTTTTTATATTGACTAGTTAGTTGACCGTCTGAATGAGAATGTGAGGAAGCTATTTTATTGTGGGTATCACATTTTTTTTAGCTTTGAACTTAAAAGTTTCATTTTTCTTTGTTACTTATCATTTTTTGATAAACTGTTTTGTGATAACCCTTCTCAGCGTTTTTGAAAAATCTTAACCAGGTTTTTTTTATCTGTTATAAACTATTTCATTCTAGTGTGTTCGATTGTTTTTCCAATTGTTTCGTTTATAAACGTTTTCTTTTTTCATTGTTCTTCAATCCAATTGTTTTGCTTAATATAGGAGAAAATTTGTCCGAATTACCTTTGAATGTATCAATAAAAGCGGAAAACCTGCATAATACATGTTTGTTGTCACATGATAGACCAGTCAGTACGTGCTAAACTTTGTTGAAGTTTGTCTTCGAAAATTTTTTTTTCCAATCCCTGAAAAACAAAAAGATGATTCTTTGTCATTTGTGATAGTTAAGGTGGATTCGTAACTGAACAAAGAGTAATCACTATTATTTAGAGGTTCACAACAGTATACGAGCAGTTGTTTTAAAAAAAAACTAGTTTAATGTATGCTTATACTTCATATATTTGTTATATTATTGCACTTATAATACTATATTCAATTTTTTAATGATTTCCACAAAATCTAATTGTTCACAATCGTCCCGAAACTTTCATGACAATGAAGAAATACACTAAGTTCCATATAAGGAAGGAAGAGGGGAAAAGCCACTTGCAAATCTCGTCGGCGTTTCCCGAACTCCAGTAGTCGAACTTTGTGACTTTGTCCAGTTCGTTTTCTTTCATATCAGTGGAGAACTCGACATGTTTGCCGTATGATATATTTTCCCGCTGCGACTGGATGTTTTGAACAACATTACTGAAAAAGTTACATCAGAGCCTTTGAACAACATTACTGAAAAAATCAATCCAAAAACAGAATAGTACAAAGTAAGAACAAATGTTCATAATGAAGCTTAAACTTTATAGCTTTTTACAGGAACCTCTCTGTAGCAGATGCGGATTGAGAATTTTTGTCGAGTGGTGATGGAGTTCGACGCTGAATTTCCCATTTAAGCCTGACGTTTGAGAAAACTTTGGGCCAAAATGAACGCTTTTCTTCTACATATCTAAAGAAAGGCTGAAAATTTGCAACTCACGCTTCAGTTTTTTGTGATGGATCTTCTTTCTGCATTGGAGTCAATTGGGTCCCATCGTTTTCAACACAGGTTTCATCCTTCAAGTTTTGGTTCGTAAGTGTCGATTGTGCGCCGAACAGAAGAGCCATCTTCGGTCTGAAACTAAATGATGCATGCTCCTACTATGTAAAAACCAGTGATAAAGGATATAAACATATACCCTGACTTGATACCAAATTGTACCAATGGTAGAATAATTTTCATGAAGACAGCTTCTACGAAAAAGAAAGGGCGATTTTTTTATTAAATACAATTTTCAAGTCGATCTCTCTTTCAGGAATCTATTTTTTCTAAAGACCGAAGTTCCAGTAGCCGCCATCATTAGCCAGTAAATTAAAACAATAAAATTAAACCTCATAGCCCAATCCACAGTATGTATACATGATAGAGGACAAAATAGAGCTAGCAAATTACAGAAGCATTTCGGCCAGCTGAGTATTTTCTAAACTCTAACCTGGTAACGATGTCAATTTCTTGCGTCACAATCTTTGTGCCCTCATCGACTTTGGTAGGCCCTTTCACCAGCTTCGGTATTTTAGCGAAGCCTAAAGGCACAGTACAATATAATAGAGGAAGACCCTGTATCGTTTAAAATTATTTTGAAACATTTTTAAAATACTTAATTTTTTCTTAAGTATATTCTTATTTGCCCTGTTTTGATTGATGAAAATTTTGAAACGATTTAATTGAAGGTCTCCTAGATAGAATACAAAAGTATCTAATTGTTGGAAAACTGGCCCTTCATTCGGTGCATGAATCTGTTCTTCCGTGCCCTTTTCCACTTTTTGCGAGGCGGGGGTTGGTAGGAGACGAGTGCGAACTCCACCAGGGTGGCGAAGACATAGAAGAAGTTGATGATAAGGTAGAGGTCACCCATCTTCAGATCTGCCACTCCTGGGAATCTGAAATAAAAACAAAACAGTTTGACAACAAAGTTTGATACGAATACTAAATTTGACAGGACTCACTGATGAAGAGTCGCCTTTTTCCACATTTTCTAAGCAATGACCTATTGCGCGATTTTTCCAGTGTTATTGCAGTTCAACTCTTTTTGCGATATTCTATTCCCGTCCTCACCGCCAAAAGGTCTAGATTTGGTACTATTTACGACTCCATTTTTGAACGACCGACCCTTATGTTTTTTCGAACGAAAATTTTCAAAAAGTGAAACGAATTTTTTTGAGTGTTCGGAAATTTAATTTTGTGACAAAAAATTTCGACTTATTTTTTAAAAATTTTCTGAAACCCCTCCTCTCAATTGTAGATCCGCGCATGTTGTTGAGCATGCAACGACCTACAAAATGTGATTGAATAAATCTGATATCGCGTCAGCAATCCTGCTCGTATTCAAAAATTCTTCTACTCACCTGTTGCCTGTTCCGTTGATAAGTGTTATGGTAGCTAGTATGGTGGTAATGGACAGCCCTGATCGGGCGGGTATGGCCTTTTTGTCTACCCAGAAGCCCACCCATGACAGCAGTACCAGGGATATACTGGGCATGAACATGGTGATGATGTAGATGGCCAGTTTGCGGTGCAAGTGCACCTCCATGCACAGTTGTTTCCACACAGTGCCTTGTCGGGTCAACAAGCAATTATTTTCAGCATGGCTCCTTTTTAATGCCCGTTCTATTCGAAATTTGATTTATATCGGCTTAGTTTCCTCTTGTGAATTTTTTTTTGTTTCAACGGTTGTCTGCTCTAGAATTGTCGCTGTTGTTACCACTGTTTAAGCTTTTTTTGGATGCAGTTTTAAAGTTCAATTGTCTTATAAGGCATGTTGTTCTCAGAAAAGTTCATTGACATTTTGGTAGATATGTTATTGCCTTTTTCAAAATTGCTTCGACTGAGCGATGTTCATATCATTTTCTGTCGTCTAACTTGACATGCAGTTTTTGGAGTGAATACAGTGCTGATTTAAATTAACCGGACAAAACGTGTTAAACTTGAAATTTAAAACCCGTTTTTCTCAAATTGGGTTGAGTTTAGGTGAAAACTTATGAAGACAAAACTTGCTTAAAATTTTAGCAGAACGAATATGGTGTAACTTGTTTTGCGAAATTCGGGTCCGAAATTTTACCCCAAAAATGGGTCATTTTGGCTTTTCTTAGTTAATCAAAAATTACGCCAAAACTACCCAGTCGATCACAGACATAATTATATCAAAGTGAGCCCCTTACGTAGCCCAACAAACTTTAAGAAGGGTATAATCAATCTCCAAAATGTTGTATAAGTTATTTTATTTTTGTTTGATAGACAAAAAAGGTCGTTTTTACTATATAAAATACCAACTTTTTATTTAAAAACAATTTTGAAACAATTTGTAATTTTTTTTGGAGAAAATACCCTTCTTAAAGTTTGTTGGGGTACGTAAGGGGCTCACTTTAATATAATTATGTCTGTGATCGACTGGGTATTTTTGGCGTAATTTTTGATTAACTAGGAAAAGCTAAAATGACCTTTTTTTGGGGTAAAATTTTGGGCCCGAATTTCAAAAAACAAATTACACCATATTAAATCTGCTAAAATTTTAAGCAAGTTTTGTCTTCATAAGTTTTCACCTAAACTCAACCCAATTTGAGAAAAACGGGTTTTAAATTTCAAGCTTAACGCGTTTTGTCCGGTTAATTTATATCAGCACTGTAGCAAGTGATGAAAAACTCTGCTTCAACTCTGGCTTTAAGTTTTGACCGAAGTTCATGGACAGCAAGAGTGGATTGAATTTAAACTCATAATTAGACAAGAATATTTTAAATATAACTGAACCTGTCTGCAAAAAAAATTAGCCATTTAAAACATCGAAAATTATTTCTAAAAAATTTTGCTGAAAACAGACTGAAGAATATATAGTGGTGAGCAGGCGCGGATTTAGGAATTCCTAGAAGGGGGGGGGGGGCGTTATTTCAAAAAAAAATTTGTTACTTTTCACGACTGTTTTTTTTTTGGTCGATCAAATTGATTTTCTGAGCTCTCGCAAATCAGTCTAAAGACCCTATACTGACCAAATTTTCTGCGCCGGAGGCAATTTTTCAAAAAAAGGGGGAAAGGCGTTTTTGGGCAGTTTATGGAAAATGTTAACCAAAAAATCGCGTTTTTTTGGCGCGCGCTCCCCCCTCAAAGTTAGTATATATTGGCGCCAAAGTCACCCTTAGAAAAATTTGAAGGTCAGTAATCCGAAAGTGGATATCTCAAAATAGTACGAAGGGGGACCCTTTGGGTCGACAGTGGTTTTTGTTGAAATTGAGACATTTTTACAAATCATTTAATATTTTAGTATCACATATCACTTTGCAATTTTTGGTTTATTTGAGGTACCTGTGGGCATTTTCGGCAAAATTTTTACAACTACTTCTGCGAGTGTAGTCAAAACTTTAAAAATAATAAGAAAAATCAGTTGCTGTGTCAGTATGACAGAAAAACGCGACCACGTTCATTTTATTACAAACTTTACAACCATAATTTTGAAAAACAACTTTTTTTTTCAAATTAAATTATTATTTAATTTTTAAATGCAACCGAATTGGCCAATGAACCAAAAAAAAATATTTAGTTTTGGCTAAGAAACTGGAAACCTACTAGAAGAATTAGATTAGAAATTCAGAATAAGCTTTTAAGTTTGAAAAAAATAAAAAAAAAACAATTCAGACCAGTTTGTCTCTAGTTCATTGTTAAATTTTTTTTAGAAATTCGAATCATAGTTTGGAAGTCTTGAAAAAATTGTAAAAACATAATCTTTATAAGTTTTTTTGTGAAATAGCGAAATGCGTCGAAAAAAAACCCATTGCGACATAATTCGTACACAAACCTTTTAAGAGGTTCGGTCATAACAAAAAATTGTTTACCACTAATCAGGGGCGGATTTAGGGGGGAGCGGACGCCTCTTCCCTCAGGGATTTGACCCCCTGCCGACCCAAAGGAAACCCCCTTTGGTACTTTTTAAGAAATCATTTTTGGCCGACCGACCCTTTAACTTTTCTAAAGGCGCCTTTGGGGCCAATATATCCTAACTTTGAGGGGGAGTGCGCGCCAAAAAAAATGCGATTTTTTGTCAAAATTTTCCAAAAAGTGCCCAAAAACGGCTTTTTTGACCTGTTTTTTCACAAATTTGCCTGCGGCGCTGAAAATTTTTCCGGAAACAGCGTCTTTTTAGTGCTTTAAGAGAGCTCGGAAAATCAATTTTCTCGATCTAAAAAAAAGGTCGTCAAAATTTTCGAAAATTTTTTGAAAATTCGTCTTGTTCCCCCTCGAGAAAATTTTACATCCGTCCCTGCCACTAATGCCTATTTGTTTATAAAAAGGTCAATTGACAAAAATAGTTTGTTTTTCAGGTTTTCAACTTTTGAACTTTTTTTTCAGTGTCAAGTTCTTACTTCTTTCATGTTTTCAAATTCATTTTTTTCACTTGAATTTTTAAAGTTGTAACGCGAATCAGATATCAGTGTTATGTTAGGACGGCGGCTAGGTCGATTTTTTCAGATTGCGGTGTTAATCCTTTAATTAATTTACAAAGCAGTAAAGAACACACGTAATGTCAATAATTTGGCATTTATAGTAGAATATCATCTTTACTATTATGATTGACATTATTAAACATATTAAATTCCAAAAAAGCGCTCAATGCTGCAAAAAAAATTTTTCGCCAAATTACTAAGTAAAAATTGTATATAAAAACAATTTTTTTCTGCAAAATTACGATATTTTTGCAGAGAAAAGCGATTTTTCAAAAAAAAATCATTATAATTCAAATTCTACTGAAAAAAAAACAAATGGTTCCTATCTACGCGACTTATAAAATGGGTTCAAATTATGTTTTTATCTGATATCTTATTATCTGTTATATGATATCTCTCTACTAACCCAGATTGTACGTGGTCTCTTTGGTATATGTGCGCGGGTTTTCTCGGATGTAGAAGTTGGCAATCTTCTGTCCAGGGGTCATAGAAATGACGTCATGGATCCAAGACATGTTCTGATGCCCCATATGGTATAAATCTAGGCCATAACTTTGATTGGAGCGGATATAAAATGAGGGTGTGATTTTCAAAATGTATCGAGTGATTTTTTGAGTTTTCGTAAAACAATGAAAGAGATTGTTTTTCGCCAAAAAGTTTCAAACTGGAGGAACAGATCTAAAACGCCGTTTTGTGCCCTTTTTCAAAAGTTTCTACCGAAAAGTTGCGTTATCATTTATAAGTGCAAATGCACCTTAAGAAAAAACCTAGCGTTGGTCTGCTTGTCCAAAAATAATGGTTGCCGTTAAATTGTTGTTCCATCAAACGTCTATGATAATGGTAACTTTTACCCCATAATTCACTCACAGCTTTCAAAGCATAGTTGGCACTGTTGAATGTCAAAGGGGAAGTACTTGAGGTCCATTTCACACCTGAATGTGACCAGCAGTCTGTTGGAGAAGAAAATATTGCTATCTTCTTCCAGTTCTAGGGTCTGGCTTCTAGACAGAATTCCTGGCTTGGACACATCCAGGGCATCTACCCAGTAGATATCTAAAAATCAATGCAGACACTTGACAGTTGTATCATAGTTTTAAATATCAGAACATACTGAACTGTTAATAAAGAAAACATCGTGATTATGTTCATATGAGCTAATAAACACCTAACAGACATTTATTGCTTCTACAACGTTGTACAAGCGTTTTAACTTATCTTTTTTCTAATGAACTACACTCTTGTCTATAAATATGAGCAATAAAAATATTTTTGTGTTATAAAAGATAATAAAACGTGTTTTTGAGAAACATAGAATGAATTTCGAAAAATTATAAGCGAGTTACAAATAAAAAAAGTATTATTATCTTTTGGGAAAGCCCTTTACTTCGAGAACTGCAGTGATGCGCTGTGGCAGTGATTTGCAGAAGACCGAAATAAAACCGTCTGAAATGCTATAAAATGCTGCTTTGGTTTTCAGCCATAGTTCGCCCAAAATAAAGATTTGTTGGCATTGTATTCGTTTTTTGAAGTGGCCCCACCTTTTTTTCTAGAATATTCAGGTTTGGTGATTGTGGTGGCCACTGTGGTAAGAGAGCGACACTATGTTCTCCAAAAAAACCTTACTTCCACCGAAACATGACATGGGCTTTATCTTGCTGAAGAAGTTTGTCTTCTTCCAAAAGCGGCATTACACTCTGCTTCCAAAATCCTTGTCTCATCGTCTCTGACCAAACGTTCAGCTCAGAGACCAAATTGCGCCATACACCATGTGCTCTTTTGCATCACCGAAGAAAATTGAAGAAAATTTTTGGGTTCGTAGCGTTGACAGACACCTTTTGGCTTTCGGATTAACTGAGCAGGGCCAGAGCAAAGCTGAAACCTTGATTCATCTGTAAATACGGCATCGAAAAATTCAATTCTGCCCAATTTGTCCAATTTGTGCTTTCTCGTAGGAAGGGTTTTTTTTAGCTGCATGATGCCCAAAAAGTCCATACTATGTCAATATTCTGCGAACACTTGATGTTGATTACAAACGGCCATCTGCCCAGCTCAGTTTTAACTTGGTCGAAATGAGTTTTGGTCATAAAAAAGCCAAACGTTTCAATGTCCTTCTGGAGTTTGTAGATGTCTTTGGGTGCCTGCGAGGATGTTTTGACCTCCCAGCGCTCCTTTGTTTGTAATTAGAAGTAAATCGCTGGACTTTACGCAATGGGACAGACAGATAAATGATCTGAAATTTTTCTACTCGATAAGTTATCGGGTCTTTTTCGGGTCTTGGGGGAAGTTTGTTTAAGCTCCATAACACCGTGTTCCAACAAAAAAGTTGAGTGCAAGCAAAAGCAGCCGATAGAAAAACAAGATTGCTCGTATCAGGGCGAAGCCCCGAATGTTCCGACTGCCTTTTAAGGTTTATGGAGCAGTAATAACTTAAAAAAATTGAATGTAACAAAATAAAATGAAAATTTTTTTTTTCTAAAATTTGAAATTTCTTTTACGAAAACCACCCCGCACACGCCATATAAAGAACAAAAGCGTTAATAGTGCGTTAATAGCGCGAAAGATATCGCGCGTTAATTGTCCCAAATTGGCCAAAATGCCAATCTTTAAACCGCCGTAACTTTACGAAAAAGATCACAGGTAAAATATCTTTTCAAATTTAAGCTCAGGACAACAATACCTTTTGAATGATATAAAAAAAATTCCGTCTAAAATGTCTAGTTAAAAAGTCGAAATTTGTCTGAAGAAAAAAACCACCCCGAGCACAAATATTCCGTTAGTTTCGAATCGAAAGTCGGAACAATAACACTGAGTGATGTTCATATGAATAAATTAGGCAAGTACCGTGTCTTCACACCAACAGCGCGCGTCGTGGTTTTGCATTCAAAATTGAACATAGCGCCAACATTTATTGACAATAATGTACTATTTCTTGAGCAGTTTACTGACAAAGTTTCATCCAATCATATTTTTATCAATGTACCAACTTTTGAAGAAATCAACAAGATATCTGCACTGGGATAGTTTTTTATGAGACCAAATTGGAAATTTCAAGTCAAAGTTTCTAGCAGAATCACAAAGTTTCGTGACATATGAAAAATTTGGAAGTCTTCGAATATTTTTAAATTGTGATTAAAAGTTTTTTAAATCACAAATTATTGTTATATTTTGAAATTTTTATTGTCTTTGAAGATGACTCACCTGTCTTGGAAAAAGATTTCAAAAAATGTATAAAAGTAATTAGGTTTATAAACCGAGTAGGCCGTGAGTAATGCAGAAAAATGTTTCAAGTTTTGCCAAAATTTTAGCAAAAAAAATCGATTCAGATTGTAATCAATAAGAATTCATTGTAATAGATTCAAAACAAGCTATACTCAATTCGAAATGTTTTTTTAAAATGAATTACATTGAATTTAGTGTTAAGATTTGTTATAATAAATTATAATGGATTTGGTTTGGCGCTGTAACTCATTATAATCGATTAGTTCACTTGAAACTCCGGTGCCGAATAAATTTTGCCTCATTTGCGGCCTATTTGAGTTGCAATACTTGAAACATTCATTAAAAACTTGAGCAACACGATTACCTTTCAAGATGTAACCCCAACAAGACTGCTCGTTTCAGGGCGAAGCCCTGAATGTTCCGACTGCTTTTTAAGGTATATGAAGCAGTGATATCAAGAAAAAATTAAATGTAAAAAAAAACGAAAAAAAATTTGTAAAAAATTTTGAGATTTTTTGTAAAAATCATGCCCCCACGCGCCATATAAAGTAGAAAGCAATAAATTTTGCTTCTAGTAACAAATCAATATGGCAAACAAGCTTCTTTCAACCAATTTGGAACGATTTCTAGGCCGGATATTAAATCTCCGCTTACGCGTTAATAGCGCGAAATATATCGCGCGTTAATTGTCCCAAATTGGCCAAAATGGCAATCTTTAAACCCCCATAACGTTACGAAAAAAAGATCTTAGGTGAAATATCTTTTCAAATTTAAGCTCAGGACAACAATACCTTTTGAATGTTATAAAAAAAATCTGTCTAAAATGGCTAGTTAAAAAGTCGAAATTTGTCTGAAGAAAAAAAAACCCACCCTGAGCACAAATATTCCGTTACTTTCGTATCGAAAATCGGAACAATTACCCATATATAACATCCACATTTTCCTTTTTTACTCAGCCGCACACTTTGACAATCCCCTTTTATGTATCCCCACACACGCGCACACCTACTTACATCACCATACACAACCCGCTTTAAAAAACTTCTTTCTTCTCCCAACTTCAATGTGGGAGGAAGGATAACTATGGGATGAATGTTTGAGTATATGGGAGGGTTTACTTAAAGGGGTGGGGTAAATGTGTGTGCGTGGGGGGGGGGAGGAAGGGGGACAAATAAAAGTCAGTTAAAACTAACAAAGTATAAATATGTGTGCAGAGTAAATAGAAGTCAGTATTAAGACTAGCAACAGTGCTCAGATGTGAGGGCAAAACTCTGAATGTTCCGACCGACCTGTAACTGTTATCGATTAATTTTCAATAAAGATTTGATGAAAAATACAATTTGGGACTATTTTTTCTTTTATTCCCCATCACTTTTTCCTGTTCACATTGTTCGACTGTTTCCCTCGAAGATCCAAATCCAAATCATTTCGTTATATAAGTCAGGGGCAAAATCGGATCGTGGGAATTATAGACCGATTAGTCTCTTGAGCTCAAGAGCAAAAGTTTTTGAAAAAACTAATTACAAAAGAATGCTTTCATATATCAAAAAACAAAAGATAATTAACCAAAAGCAGTTTGGAGTTCAGCCGAAAAAATCATGTGTGGATGCTCTAAAAATTTACAGAATTCATGCGCTCTACGATTGAAAACAAAGACTATAGCTTAGCTTGTTTTATGGATTTTAAAAAAAATTTTGACACAGTCAATCATGAGCGCCTGCTGGAAAAACTCAAACATTATGGTTTCAGAGGAACGTTTTTCGACTTTCTAAAGTCATCTTTTTCAAATCGGGAACGATTTGTACAAATGAATGAAACATCATCACAACCACTGAAAACTGAGCATGGTGTACCACAAGGCTCAGTGCTCGGGCCCCTACTTTTTCTCTTATATATTAATGATTTACCACAAAATTGTAAGAAAAGCACTGTAGTACTATTTGCTGATGACACTGCAATTTTTCATTTTGGAAAATGTGAAAATTGTGTTTTTGCCGCTAAATTCATAAGACATCTAATTGGATGAGGCAAAACAGTCTGACAGTAAGTTCCGATAAATGTTTATTTGTAAATTTTGGTAAGACCTCAGCATCAAGCTTGCATCCTTCAGGGCAAGTGCTGAAAAATGTTGATCGTTCCAAATATTTAGGAACTGAAAAAGACAAAAAGTTGGGCTAAAAATGTCATGTTGAAAAAATAACCAAAAACTTCCGCAGTTCTGTGGGGTTGTTCATAAATCCAGAAAATACTTCTCAAAAAAACAACTACTGATTTTTTATAATGCATTTTGCCAGTCAAAAATAAATTATGGATTTTTATTGAACGAAAGTACGTATAAAACTTATTTAAATGAAATTTTGAATGTTCAGAAACAAATCAATGTTTTTGAACGACCTTCTGAGTCCCTCGTCGAGATTATGGAGAACCACGAGTTTTTCACTGTTTTTCGTTATTTTTCTGTCTGAATTGTGTAAAAAGGATTTTTTTATGAGCTTCGTGGCCGCTCTCAACATAAGTTTCCTAATCTAGAACAATTTCACAGCAGACGACAAACAAGAAATACTGCAAAATACATAATACCTTCTGAATACTGTAGAACCTTTCAAAAATGGAAATCAACTGAACATCAGCTACTTTTAGCTTATAATTTTCTGATCAAAAATAGTTTATGCCCTAAAACTTGTTAGAACTGAGTGATAACCATTTCTCAATTTTTTTCAAACGTTTTTCAAGGTTGTACCTACGTAATAATATGCAACTTTTTTCAATTTTCATTAATTAGTAAGTTCACAATTGCTCTCTTAGCATTACCCAGGGTCATTGCTCGTTGAGTTGAAATAATCTTCAACAACCCCTCCCATAAATTATATAACTTTTCACTGCACCTTTTAAATGAATTCAAGTTCAAGAAGAAAAGAACTAATTTTGGACTGCCAATGTCAAGTGCTGACATTTAAACCGAATTTGTTTGACCACACGCATTGGATTTTCCTGGATAATTAATTGATGTTTATAATTTTTCATTGTCAGTCTTGGCAAAAAAATTCGATTGTAATCGATTACAAATGGATTATTTTTTTTTTCAAATCACTAAAATCCATAGTAATTGATTAAAATCGATTATAGTGAATTAAAAAAAAACACTCCAAAATTTGTGTGCGATTTTCAAACAGTGTGAAGTGTTTCCACAAATTGCAAATGGCTTTTGGTTTAACACACGCTTAATTGGAATATTAATAAAAATGTTTGCAGTTTGTTTGCAAAAACATTTGCAAAAATCTTGTTTTCAAAGTTTTCCTGAATAATTATTTTTCTACACTTTGTTAGGTTCTCAATTTTGCTGGTCTTTTTACATCTCCTTTTCCCAGTTTAAGTCCGTCTTTCCCTCCTTGCCTCTCCCTTCTATGTTTAGCCCCCCTTTTAGGCCAACCCCAACCCCTCTCTCTTTTAGGCCTCCCCTTAATTTACCCCTTTTACCCCTCGTTAACCACCTCACCCCACCTGGAGAAGGGAGGTAAAATCGTAGGTTTGGCAAGCAACAGGGTAAAGGGGTAAAAGTGAGGAGGGGAAGGCGAGGATGGGGTTGTACACGAAGACTGACATATTGCTTTGGAATCTTTGCAGAATGCGGTAAAAAGTAGAGTAAACATTTCACATTTGCAGTAATTTTTTTTTCACGGATTTTTTGAAAAAACAAACTAACGATTCAATTGAAACTAAAAACGGATCATAATAGATAATACTGGATTTTTGAAGATTGAACATACTCGATGGCAATTAGCTTGCTTCAATTCAGTTTGGAAAGATTATGAGTGCAGGATAATTCACCACGCGTAAAAAGTTCGCGTCTTAAAGTATTAATAGTGCAACTAGTCCAACCGCATTTAGGCAAGCACACTGGTTTTGCAACCCAAAAATCCAGTGTCGAAGTGTCGAAACACACGATCCCCAAATTTTCTTCTTAAAATTAAAATTGGTCTGAATCAGGGGCGGATCTGGGATTTCTCACGGGGGGCGGATTTTGAAAAAATTTTACCTTTTTTTAGGTCGACCAAATTGATTTTCCGACCTCTCCTAAAGCACTAAAAAGACGCTGTTGTGGCGCTAAAATTTAAATAAGACTTCTGCGCCGCAGGAAAATGTTTTGAAAAAACAGGTCAAAAAAGCCGTTTTTGGGCTTTTTTGAAAAATGTTGACGAAAAAATTCAAAGTTTGTATATATTGGCGCCTTAGTAAAAAAATTAGAATAAAACTTTAGGGTCGGTCGAATCCCTGAGAAGAGGAAGCGTCCCCCCCCCCCCCCCGCTCACCCCCTAAATCCGCCCCTGGTCTGAATATTAGATAAAAACACCACAGGCATATATGCTCCTCGCTTTCTTAGAAAGTCGGAACAAAAAAATTGATTATAAAAAATTATTCAAGTATTACGAGGCCACACTGTGCATTCTGTGCATTGTAAGCGGATTCCGCAACAGGCCCCAACCAGATTTGTTGGGGAATCCATAACGTTGCTACATTTCATTGATCGTCTTTGCTGTTTTGGATTCCACAAACAAATACCTAAAACACTACCGTTCAAATCGCTCTAAAATTAGGCGAATTTGCGGAATCCGCAACCGTATCCGCGGAATTCCGAACAACTGAGTTCACAAACAAATAATGAGAGTTGTGTATAATTGAATTGAGCTGTTGTGGAATCCGCAACTGTAAGCGGAATCCGCAAACTGTAAGCAGAATCCGCAAGTTTTAAGTGGAATCCGCAAGTTGTAGGTGGAATCAGCTTTTTGTTTGCGGATTCCGTTTACATATATGTAAACGTAGTAGCGTAGTAGCGGGGGCGTTCAACAGTTCCAAAGTACAACAGTGCCAAAAAAAGCGGGAAAATTTCAGAAAAATTAAAACGCATTTTCTAAAGAGTGAGAAATTATTGACGCTAATTATCAAAGAAAATCAATTCAATTTCGGCGCCAAAATGTCTGCAACTGCAAATTAAACACTTATTTTGGCTCCAAAACATTTAAATTGCAAGTTTTTTCACCCAAAATCTTTAAGTGCCACTTAAGATTGTAAACGTTCGCCGTTTAATTTTTGATTGCCGCACTTAATATGTTGAAATTCGTTCATATTTTTGGCACTGTTGAGCGAAGTTTTTCTTTTCGGCACTGTTCAACAAAATTTTTTTCCGCACTGTTGTACTGCCCGTAGTAGCGTTTACAACTATAGCTTTTAAATTCTACGTTGATCAGCTACCAGTAGGAATTCCAAACGTTCGATCTCAATTCCTGTCAAACACCCAACTTTGATCTCAAATCCTGTTGAATATACCCAACTTCGATCTCAATTCCTGACAAACATACGCAACTTCGATCTCAATTCCTGACAATTATACGCAACTTTGCTCTCATCTCATTTCTGGCAATCATACCCAGCTTCAATCTCACTTCCTACGAAGGTTAACTTCGATCTCAATTCCTGTCATCAATATCAATTCCTGTAAACTTATTCATCAGTTCATTTCAAGCCATTCAATTAAAATAAAAACTATTAATTTAGCCATTTTGAAATACTTTCAAAATGCGAAACCAGAACGTAGTTTGATAAGGCATTATTTTCAGGACTATATATTCGTGTTTTTGAGCTCAAAATTTAATTCCGCTTTAATTCAAATTTTGGTAGTTTCTATTCAATACGAATTTACTCAAATTAGTTAAAAAGATCATTTACTCACTGTGAACAAAATTATTTGAATTCACGCTTGCAAATACTGAATCTCAAATTTAAAATCCCAAATACTGAATCTTAATTACTGAATCCCGAATACTCACCTAACTCGGCGATATGTCAACCCAATAATGAATTAAGCCAATCACCGTATTAACCCGATGAATTTATTCGGTGTTGTGTTTCCAAAACTATGATCCCAAAAACTGCTTGGAAATACTAAAGTGTGATATCCATCAATTTAGTTAAGCAATGTTTTAAGAATTGTTCGTGGATTCCGCTGACAATGGTTATTTCCTTGCTTTTAATTTCCGCAAGTGAATATGCAAGTTCAGAAATACACAAATTTCTGGATTCGCTTACAGTTTGCGGATTCCGCTTATAAATTTTGCGGATTCCACTTACGTTTGCGGATTCCACTTACAATTTGCGGAATCCACTTACATTTGCGGAATCCAGAACAACTAGCTATATTTACTTGTTGTAGAATCCGCAACAAAACAAATGTGCCGACAAAATTTACGGTACAAGTATATGTACGCGGAATCCACGAAAATCTTGTAAGTGGAATCCACTTACATTTTGGAGCATGTTCAAAAGCTTGTCTTTGGAATCCAGGAACATACAGACACAAAACTGTGCGCCTATCCAGTGCACAGTTTGGCCTCGTAATGAATTTTTTTTAAAAAAAATCTGAAAAACAAGAAAAAAGATAACAATTTAAAACACAAGCCAAAGGTACGTCTCATTTCAACGAATGGAACGTATGAACAGTGAATGCAAGTTCAAGTTTTGATTGAATTGAAATGTTTTTGAAATTTTCATGCCTACTTTATTAAGAAATAATCCATTGCAATCTAATGTAATCGATTATAATCGATCATAAAGGGTTTCAGTCAACTTATCTTTGTAAACACATTAATCGACAATGAAATTCATTAATATCGATTTCTGAAAGCTTTTGTGAAGACGCAAAAATATCACATAGTTGATTATTTTCCAAAGATAACACCAGTGAAGGGATTCTATAGTTTAGAGCCACATGACATAACTAGCGCGTACCTGGGAACCAAATGAGGTCATTGTAGTCCCTTCCCAGTGGAATTGGGGATCCTTGGGAGATGTTGGGGCTAGTTGCCACTTGTGTGTAGAGGTCAACTAGTCTGTGGTCTCTCCAGTACTGGCGGAAGTAGATATCAACTGACATTCGCTGAAACCAAAATGGCTGTTTCAACAAAATTAATCAATTTCTTTGGCTCGTTTGAACCCTAGGAATTGTATAGCCAATATTTTGGATCTGGAAATTTATATCCAGTTTTTTTGCGCCATTCATTTAGTTTCAACATTTGGATGAATAAACTTTGTAAGAAACTCTGATATTCACCATGTCTTTTTCCACAACTGGTCCCATTTTGTGAACAAAGCAGTCAAAGTTGACATTATCCTGCAAACCTAGAAATTGAAAAAAGTCCTAAGATCAACACTGCTTTCAACATCATGGCACCGCAGAAAATTATTTCAATAAAACATAAATGTTCACGATAATTCAAATTTACCTTCGGAAGCACTCGGTCTGATATTCTGTCGTAGCTGTCCACAAAAACTACAGAGTCGCAAAGCCACTTCGGAAATGGAAATGATCAGTCTCAAAATTAATAGCTCAAAAGTATATGTAAATTTGGAAACCATGGTGGAAAATATTTATTTAAAGGCTTTTTTTATGAAACAGAATTTAGAAAATTTCCGGATATCATAAAAGTGTTCGGATGGTTGAGGTTACTTCTTTTGCCAGAATAAAAAAACTGAGAGAAGAATATTCAATCAAATTTTAAGTTGAAAAACGCGCAACTGTACCAATAAATTTCTTGTTTTTACGCCCATCGAATTGTTTAATTTGCCATCAAGTCATTAGTATGAGCTCATTGCGTTATGACCTGAAGTGCTTTCAAGTCTTTTCTGAATTATTTTGTGAACATCAAAAATGATTAAAGTTTTATTTACTTTGTAAAAATTCCTGGCAGCTGTACTAAATTTTTTTAAACCTTCAAATCTGTAGCAAATAAAGAATGGTCATTGCTATTAATAAATTACTTTGGTGCATTAGTTACAGATGTAAACACAATGATCTGTGTATATTTTAGATGTTGAATTATTTAAACTAATTTAGACATCTCTAAGATGAGATCCGCTCAATGTAAGTGTCATTTAGATCTTTTTGATGGTTTCACCGGATGCAAAGAAACGATTTGATATTTGATCTTGTGATTCTCAATTTTTGTACAGCTTTTGTTGCGACCATTTAAAAAATGGGGAGGAACATAGTACCCCGGTGTTTTAGTTTTTTTCTTTTTTGTTTTTTTCAAAAAAACCAGTGCCGAGAAAAAACGGTATAAAAGTTTTTTTTTTCGTTTTATTTCGAGCAAATTAAGCGAGCGAGCAGGCTTGCATCAGCATAAATATGCCTAATTTAAGGCCTAATAACTTCAGAACAGTTCAAAAATTTGAATTAATAAAAATGTTGAGTTTTTTGTTCTTTTTTTGTTTTTCCTGTCATTTTTCTAAAAAAAATCTCCAATTGGCCTATTTTACTATGAGTGTCGAATCTGCCTAAATAACAATTTTGCGTCAGATCCCTTCATCACACCACGCAGAAAAAAGACTATTAAAAAAGTGTTCTTGGTTTTTTAATGACTATAAAAGGAACATTCCGTGCGACTTGCTCAGTAACTGGCTATCCTTGTTTTCTATTTGCGATCAAAATATACAACGAAACATTATTTTTCAATTGATGCCCACGACTCGAATCAAAAAGGGAAATAAAAAAAACACTTTGTCGTTCTTTCTCGTTTTTGTCGGGCAGGCTTATTAGGCGACAAACTTAGCTGAGTTTTCCCACTTCAGCCTCTCCTCCAAGTTTTTTCTCAAAAATGAAGGTTTCTCAACAATGAGTTTTCCAAATTCAATGAGCTTGCGGAAAAAAAACTTTTTTCTTCGCATAATTGTTCTGTTTTTTTTTCAAAAGTTTTTTTTGTTTAATTTTCAAAATGTTACAGATTGACATCAGAGAGAGTAAACTTAAACTGCTCTGGTATTAATCCAGCAGTTTTTGGAACTGCATAATTGTTGCGAAAGTCAAAAATAGACCACTCTGAGCCATCTAGCTTTCAGATATAACTTGTGATAAGGCTAACGACTTCTCTATAATACTTTATTCTACAGATACTGCTTGATTCTCGTCTGATGTAGCGCAGAAGTAATGCCTGGGTTTCTCGTAACGCATGGAAGTTAACTCACTTTCCTTCCTGTTCTTAAGAAAAATTGTCACTACCCGTGGGAGGTTTGCTATTTATGTTTCGAGGCTGGGTATGTTTTGACCGACTCTGTCTAGGTTTTGAATATGTTCGACCGAGGTTTTGAATTTGTCTAGGTTTTGAGTATGTTCGACCGAAGAACAATATTCCGACCAAGTTCTACCGGGTAGAAACAGTTCCACCAAGTTCGAACGAGGAGTATTTTTGACCGAGAAGCGTTTTGACCGAGAAAAACTTTTAACTGAGTTGGAACGAGCGAAAACTTTTCGACTAAAAAAAATACCTTAAGAGTGTTTTGACCGTCAAATAGGTTTTGTACGCTGAAAAAACATCAGGTGTGAACAATTTGACATGTGTTCATGTTTGGATATAAGAATGTACGTAAGCACCTGGGTATGTAACTATGCCCTTATATGTTCTTTTATAAATGTATGCATGTATGTAAGTATGCATGTATGGATGTAAGTATGCATGTATGTAAGTATGTATGCATGTAAGTTTGTATGTATGTATGTATGGATGTATGTATGTATGGATGAATGGATGTATGTACGTATCTCTGTATCTTTGTTTGTTTGTATGTATGTATGTATGTATGTATGTATGTATGTATGTATGTATGTATGTATGTATGTATGTATGTATGTATGTATGTATGTATGTATGTATGGATGTATGTATGCATGTGTGAATATAAGTATGTATGTATCTTTGTATGTATGTATGTATGTATGCATGTAAAATTGTATGTATGTATGTTTGGATGTATGTATGTATGGATGTATGTATGTATCTTTGTATGTATGTTTGTATGTATGTATGTATGTATGTATGTATGTATGAAAGAATGTATGTATGCATGTAT